TGACTTCCTTATGTACATCATATGCCTGGAGCTCCTTCAGAGTAAAAGAATGAATGGCTCCTATGCTTCATGCTAGATTTCCAGTTTTGGTCCCATTTCTAAATCATCTTCGCTCACTGTTCATCTCCGTTTTATGTCACGTCTAACAATAACACACTAAAAACACTGTTAAAAATCTGACTGAGACATATCATGTTTTTGTTTCTTTGAGTGAAAAATGAGTTCACCTGAACAACTGGACCAACTGAAGTTATTCCCCCTACACAGTATAAAGTCCACAAGTCTCAGCCTCCTTGACTCTACACTAGCTCCACATATCATAACACATATCACAGTATACGCGAGGGATAAACACAGATCTTTTTTTTCTTTTTTAAATAAACAGCTTTTAATGTGGTACATGAATCTGGATAAAACAGGAAATCACTGGTAGATTGAAAGACAAGTCGAGGAGAACCAAACAACGTTTAGCCAAAACTAATGATAAAATGGATTTCCACTCTGTTAGTGATCGGAACAGTCGTATTACATCTTATTACATAGATTACACTCTGTTTAACAATAATGTTAAACAGCTAGTTGGCATCGCTTAATTAATGCATCCATCTCCTTCCCGCTGGCTTTAATTTACACACAGAGTACAATTCAAGGCTTGTTGCAGCATTTATTGACCGCATTGAGTTGAATCAATTTGGTGCAGTAGTGTAGCTGAAGTCCCCAAAACGGCTTCCTGATTTCCCTTCAGTAGAAAAGAGACCTTCCTACCTTCCTGGTGTATGAACATCCATCAGAAGCCCCAGAAATAAAACAAAATATGATTTTAAACTGCTGCGTCATTAGCTGCGTTGCCCAGTACATCACATGTGTATCTACTAAGGGGGAAAAGTCACTTGTAGTTCATGTTTGAAACAAATATACTGTTCTTTACTTTAGGCATTAAATAAAAAATGCATGTGGGTATCCTCTAGGTGCTTTCTTCCCACAGTGCAAAAACAAGCTATTTAGATGTACTGGAGACTTTAAATTGGCCGTGTGTGAATGTGATACTGTATGTGCCCCTGTAAACACACACTTAAACATTGGTGTTGGTTGAGTATGTATGAATAATGTGTGTGCACCTTATGTGACGTCCACAACTATCTATACTGGTTCTGTTTAAGCTGCACATTTTCAAATGTCCAGTGGAGACCTGAGTGGAGCAGGGTTAGAAAGCTCTGAAAGCAGTGTGCTCCACTGTACGCGTTTGAGGTTGTCTTTCAGCGATAACCTCTACGCTACTCAAATCCGCGAGAGTCTCCCGGATAATTCGATGATACTAGGTTTCTGTTATAGTATGCGGTTTTCGTTTCTTTTAGCTATGTTTCTGTGAAATTGAATGCATTCTGGCCAGAAGCACAAATCTGAGCTGTAGCTAATTAAGAATACTTTGTGCAATCAGGGACCAAACACTTCACCAGTCATCGGATTCACTTAAGACCAAAACCCCAAATCCCAAAGTTAACTGATTAAAACTGCTGAATGTATTAAGTTCTACAAAGCTTAATCTCTATCATAAACCTGCCTTGGTTTCTATCAACGCTGGTAGTCGGCTGCCTAAAAACTGCTTGGGAGCCATACTTGACTTGTTTCTTCTCTCACATTCTTGACCTCTGACTTTTCATTACAGAGACAGATGTTTTAAAACATCTCATCTTTCATACTGATAATTCAGCGAGAAGAGTTTTACGGCATCCAGGCTTTTCCAGTCACCTCAGAATATTTATGCACAGAATTGATAAGCAGCAAAATATTCATCCAGTTTAGTGTTTCAAAAACAATTACATACTTTTTAGGGATGTTTTTAGGGAAGTGCACTGCTTCAGTTTAAATGGGTGTAAAACTGTTAATGATTTTGTTTATGAAAAAACGAATTAAATCTATTATCTACTGCTGGCTTGCATATGCATCAGCAGCTGGAATACGAGGTTGTACAATTCTGGACTCAGAGACGGGGAATGGAAATGTAAATAAATGAGTGAATTAAACACTTTCAAACCAAATGTTTTGCTGATGCATCCACATTCTGAGGATACACAAACACGCATAAACACGTGAAAAAAGCAACTCACAATAGTTTCTGTCTGCTTTCTCTTGGCTTCCACTTTCCCCCTCTTCCCTCTGACTCTTTTCTGTCTCTGTCTCTTTTCTCTCTCTGAATATTTTAGTATTGATGAGCCCATTACTGATGATAACACAGTGCAACGTCAGCTTCCTTTTTCTCTCTCTCTGTCACACACACACACACACACACAGACACGCTCACTCATCAGGAGTCGGGTTACAACTCTGCTGCTGCTGCTGTGTACTTCTATGCATTTCTATGTGTGTGTGTATGCGTTCAGCAGGAGGCTGGGGGATCTAACTTCCTGGCGTCAATCCAGTAAATTGCAATTTTTTTCAGGCTGAAGACCGTTCACATGCACACCCACTGGCACAGACATACACATACCCAAATACAGATTACATGGGCGATGCCTGTTGGCTGCTGAACCGATGCAAGATGATAACAGCAGATAAACAGAGCGCGCTGAACATGAGCGTGTCCTCTTCAGGAGACACATTAAAAACCGAGGGTGAACGGAGGGCTAAGCTTAGACAGAATGCACGTACGTGATTCCTGAAACTGTAGAGCTTGGTCAATATTTCTGATGATAAATAATTGGCTCTCAAAGTCACATCATCACAACAATAAAACCACAAAAGGTCGGGCGTTCCTCTCGCTTGTTTTTCTTTTGTCAATCGCAGCGTTCAATCACAAGAGGGGACGATCTCTCAGTGCGTGCCAACATGACATCTGCTCTTGTGTATTTTGTGACAGCATCACACTTCATGACCTTTACTGATGACCGATGCTGAGTCTCTAAGTGAAACTGACTCCAGCTGGAGGGAAGCAGGTGAGACCAGCTACTGAAACTAATTGTATATCAGAGATCACTGACGTCCACCTGGCAGATTCATTATTCCTCCACAACTCTGGTTATTTTCTACTAGACTGGCCAACAAACGCCCAGTGTAAGACGCTTCAGTCTTTTCTGACAAGCAGTGGTGAGGTGAATAAAAGCCATTATCCTCCAGGGATTTCCCTTATTGCATTTTAAATCAATACAGAAGGAGGAGATAAAGAGCATCAACACAATATACCAGGATTTTGTTTTTAACTTTGAGACAAAAAAAGGGGTTGAACTTGATATGCGGAAGAGTCTAATATTTTGTGCAATCACTGTGTAATGGCATCACAATGTTATTATCCACAAATGATGCTACTGAGCTAACAGAGAGGGGGGAAGGAACTAACAGGATTGAAAAAACACAGAGTATAGACATGTCCTGAGGGAAGCTTTCACTGTATATATATATATACAGTATGTGCATGTTGTTTGATCACAATCACTCGACTCCATCAGCAGCAGATGCGTCACTTAATTTGAGAGCAGGCGTTGTGTGTTTACATGGCAAACCTTCATTTCAAACAGAAGAAACCTGCTTCAATATGGGAGGAGGAGAGCTCCGCTTTATTAACTAACATTTAGCTAAACACAGTTGACATTTTAAAGTTCATTTTATTCCGCCGACAGGTGCCGGTGAGAGAAGTCATGACAAACATACAGGCAGTGAACAGCAACACCACTCCAACTAATGGCCTTAACAGTTACCACAGAGTTTAATGAACACCTCTCCGAGAGACATTCTCAACACATAGTAAGTCTTCATAAAGACAGGATGCAACACTGCCTTCAATTGTTATAATGATCACGTCAGCCTCCTTTGAGCCACGGCACAAATGATGTCCAGTAAAACCGACTTATCTCTCCAAAATGTCAACTTTTCATGAACAAGAAAAACAGCCTCAGGGTCGAGAACAAACGTTGACGCTGAAAAACAGCCTCGTTTTAAGTTCTGTGATGAAGCTTTTAGGAGGCTTCAAAAGGAGAAAACTGCACAGAAGGAGCCTTTGTTCTCAAGTTTATTGTCAAAACAAAAGGGCACAACTCTTTAAAAAGGGGTTATAAGTTGTATATATATACGAACTAGCTTTACTTATTGTTAATAAATCACCTTCTTATGCTTTACATATCAGGTATAAACCATTAATAAGAACAAATGTTGGGATATGCTATTGTGAGAAATCCCTTTAGCTGGTGTTTATCCTTTTTTATGGGAAATGTATGTTGCTAATCAATTAATGAATTCTTAATAAGCTAACAATCAATTGATTTTGGTCCACTTCCTGTGCAGTCCTATTCAATAAGGTAAATCTAATCCGTCAAAGAGATTTTTTCACAACCTGGGAACCCAAAAAATGTTCTGATTAGCAGTTTATAACAGATCTATAAAGCAACTAATAAAGCTATTAGTTACAGATTATTAACCCTTTAGAAAGGGTGCCGTATTAGAAAGTGGTACCAAACAGGGAGGCTACAACACATCAGACCAGCCAGTATTTTAAGATAAGGTGGTTTACTCAAAATCAGCCCTTCAAAAACATTTGAACTACTGTCATATAGAAAACTGAATTAGGAGAGCAGTAACAGCAGATACATCTGTCCCAATAGGGTTATTAGAGGAAAAGTAGCCTATCAGAGTGCTGTTATGATACCCAGGAAGATACAAAGGCACGATAAGGTCACTAAACTCTCTGTAGAGCAGACTAGACCCACTATGAGAGCACTGGTTATATTACAGTGTGATGGGGGTGAGCTACAGGGCTTTCGCCCACCAGTTTACACTGACAGCTGCCTGCACAGCTCACATGGGGTCTTCACTGGTGCTGTCAAGGGGGGGTNNGGGGGGGGGGGGGGGGGGGGTAATGACAGCCACCAGGTCCCACTCACTCTGCTACTACACTCACTCACTCACTCACTGTGTTTGGCTCAATAGGCGCCATGTGCCTCTACGGCTTGTACGCAGAAGTGGCTTCAAGGTAAAAACACAGCACACACAGTTATTAGACACACACTTACATCTCGGAGGACGGAGGTTGGCTACGGCAGAG